AAAACTATTTAATTAAGCAGGACACTTTCTAATGTATTGAAAAACAACAACAACAATTCAAAGCTGTATTACACTCATTGTTTTGATGCAATGTTTTTTTTTATCTATTTAATTAAAATTCTATTTTATTTTTTAAAATGTAAAAAAAATTTTTTTTTTGCTGCAGTAGCTGCAGAAGTTTACTTTGAATTAAAAACCAGATTGATTGATTGACGGATTATTTATTTATTTACTTATTGTTTGTGTAACCAAAATAATAATGATAACCAGGGAAAAAAAGTTAAGCATAATGTGTGACGTTTAATTATAAACAGACCCAAAATGCACTGGAACTCTTATTTTAAAATGCCTATGAGTGCTGGCTTTGACATTGTTATAATTCACGAACAGCTACTGTAAATACATTTTAAAGTTCAGACACCTATTTTTAGTCTCAAATGCTAGCGAAATGCTTGCACTGTTGAGCCCTGTGTAGCCAGGGTCGGTGTTCCCTATGGATCTTCTCGACATTGGCACTGCAATGAGATCAGGTGACAACACAATAATGTAACATACTACACTCTTTATAATTGCGTAAGTCTCACATAACCTTTTTTTTTACATCAGCAGTACTGCTTAGTATGCAGTACACTACTATTCCGTTGATAGCCGTACAAATGTTATTAGACCGCACTTATTAATACATAAAGACAGGAAAGTGATGGATGACTTGGGGTGACCACCTTGAATATCTAATTATAATGCCACTCATAATTATAGTTAAAGTTTAAAAGAGTTATATTTGAGTATATAAACAGTGACGCACAATTGGTACTTCAGCTTCTGATTGCTTATGCCTGGAGACTTCGAGTGCTCTGTACCAATTAGAAGGCACTTGATTGCAATCCAGTGAGTGGCACTGTCAGCAGCCATACGCTCACCACTCGTCACTTTAATACACGATATACAGGGTCTTATGGCACTGCCTTTACATTTGATTGTAATGATAACAATGCCTAATTGCATTGTTGCACGCATTAAGTGTGCGTGGCACAGTCTGCATATTTATGACTTGACGTTCTCCATTCATTAGTGCCACAGAGACCACTGACAAGTGAAATGGAGTTCTTCATTATCGTTTTAATTAACACCAAAGTCTTGAGGGGTAGCCATTGAGGTATCTGAAAACATGGTACATGGTTTCTAATTTTACCCCTCTCTGTGGAACTGGTTTCGAAAGTGGAATAATGTTGTGTGAAATGTGTGTCATGGATTGACTGAGTT